TTATTTTCCACATTATATTGTTGTTTCTTCTGAGATTAAAGGATCCATGGTATAGTGATAATTGCACAACGTGCACATGAGCGTGTTAGGCAAAGACGCATTTTATATCCCGCAACCTAAATAGGGGTGTTCATGATTGGAAATGAAGTTGGACATTTTTTTCTAATGTTCCAAATGGTCCTTTACTCCATATAAAGGATGAATATTTTATTCTAGCGGGTCATATGGTCGTATACTTATTTTGATTGTAGAAGTGTTGAAATATTCATCCTTTATATGGAGTACAGGACCGTTTGGAACATTAGAATAAAGTATACTTATTTTGATCGTAGAAGTGTTGAATTCTACATAAAGATGCTAGTTTGGTGCTAGTTGATTGACGAAATGCATTAAATACAATCTAATATACAGACTCTTATGTTGATGGTCTATCTCAATCTCACGTCTAGGAAGCTGTTCTAGAGTCGCGTAGCCTCTTTTTCATGCTTGTACTTTCGACACTACACGACTTCAAAATAAAACTTTTATAGCTCACAATCGATTCTTCATCTATGGACACGATCACATGGAGATAAATAACAAGTTTTTATCGAATTGTCAAAATTATAGAAATATAGAATGATAATTTTTCCAAATTGTATTTTCCCAAGTTATCTCTTAAAGTAATGGTTGACACCACAAAAACCACTCCCTTTTATAGGGACAAATCCAACCCCCACAATTAATATGTTTTTATGTTAAAATTGAAAAATTAAATCAAAACCAGAAAATTAAATGTTTTAATTTTGAAAGTTAAAACTTATTAATTATGTATTATTATAATCTTCTACAAGTTTTAAACACACACACATAGTGGCAATTCAATTGCCACAATATCGACTTGAACCTCATTTAATGACAACAGTTTCCATTTGAAGGAATCATAATGGACCAAGCTTTGAATTAAATCATTTTAGCCAAACTTCAATTGCCACAATATCGATTTAGACATAGTTAATAGCGGGTAGCATTGCTAATGATCATGTCTCTTATCGTGGTTCTAGTAAGAAATCTCTAAAAAATAGCTCAATCCTATAGCCACAGCCTCTTGGAAACTCTTACATGGGTGAGTTCTCCAAGGGTGCGTGTAACCCACACATCACAAGAATTCTCATATCGATACTTATTCAAGGTTAAACCATTCCTATCGTCATAATTATTAGCCCTATCACCATAGAGATGAGCACAGATTATATAGTGCTATTACAAGTCATGCAATACAGGTTGTTTTACCATATTAAACCTGCTTCATGGGATTTACAATCATAAAGGTTAGGTTATTCTCGAAAATAACTTCCTTATGGGCTTAAATCCATCTCCCTCGATAATTTATTATGTCCATTATGAACTATAATTTGTTTTATGTCCAAAAATATTAATATCACATATTTGGTCCTTTACTCCATATAAAGGATGAATATTTTATTCTAGTGGGTCATATGGTCGTATACTTATTTTGATCGTAGTAGTGTTGAAATATTCATCCTTTATATGGAGTAAAGGACCGTTTGGAACATTAGAATAAAGTATACTTATTTTGTTCGTAGAAGTGTTGAATTCTACATAAAGATGCTAGTTTGGTGCTAGTTGATTGACGAAATGCATTGAAGAGGACCTACTAAATACAATCTAGTATACAGACTCTTACGTTGATGGTCTATCTCAATCCCACGTCTAGGAAGCTGTTCTAGAGTCGCGTAGCCTCTCTTTCATGCTTGTACTTTCGACACTACATGACTTCAAAATAAAACTTTTATAGCTCACAATCGATTCTTCATCTATGGACACGATCACATGGAGGTAAATAACAAGTTTTTATCGAATTGTCAAAATTATAGAAATATAGAAGGATAATTTTTCCAAATTGTATTTTCCCAAGTTATCTCTTAAAGTAATGGTTGACACCACAAAAACCACTCCTTTTTATAGGGACAAATCCAACCCCCACAATTAATATGTTTTTATGTTAAAATTGAAAAATTAAATCAAAACCAGAAAATTAAATGTTTTAATTTTGAAATTTATACTTATTAATTATGTATTATAATAATCTTCTACAAGTTTTAAACACACACACATAGTGGCAACGTTATAATGTGCAATAGTTACTGGGGTCTTTCGACTTGAATCTCATTTAATGACAACAGTTTCCATTTGAACGAATCATAATGGACTAAGCTTTGAATTAAATCATTTTAGCCAAACTTCAATTGCCACAATATCGATTTAGACATAGTTAATAGCGGGTAGCATTGCAAATGATCATGTCTCTTATCGTGGTTCTAGTAAGAAATCTCTAAAAAATAGCTCAATCCTATAGCCACAGCCTCGTGGAAACTCTTACATGGGTGAGTTCTCCAAGGGTGCGTGTAACCCACACATCACAAGAATTCTCATATCGATACTTATTCAAGGTTAAACCATTCCTATCGTCACAATTATTAGCCCTATCACCATAGAGATGAGCACAGATAATATAGTGTTATTACGAGTCATGCAATACAGGTTGTTTTACCATATTAAACTTGCTTCATGGGATTTACAATCATAAAGGTTAGGTTATTCTCGAAAATAACTTCCTTATGGGTTTAAATCCATCTCCCTCGATAATTTATTATGTCCATTATGAACTATAATTTGTTTTATGTCCCTCATAAACAATAATTTGGTACCACATATTTGCAAAGCTCTTATTCTCCTCTTGCACAAATGTACATCTGCAGAGTCATCTAAGAACTTAGGTTTTTATAATTATAGTGTATAATAATTATAATAATATGAGCATATGAAATTTCTAATATTTACTTTTAATAACACGTTTGAGCAAATGTATCCATTGGCTCATGTAATTCACATGCACGTCTACAATTTCATTTTTAACACTCTTCAAAAATCAGTTTTACAACTAAGAATAATGTGCATCTATTTGTAATTTTAAGCAGACCCACATTCAAATATATCCAGCTTGAGTTGAGTAAATATATGATATTCACTATTACAATTTTTCTCTTATACTACAAGACTTGTATTTCAGAAATCAAGCTAATTGAACAGGAGTTGCTTTGTAGAGCTCACCTTTAAAAAAAAAAAAACCTTGAAGGTAAGTATATTAATACATTTACTATGCAATCCCAATTTTTATCATGAGTTAAATGTACCCATTTGCTTTCTTACACTATTTAATTTTAGGCTAAATAGCACAAAATCCTACCTATAGGTAGCTATGTCAACGAGTCGAGTCGAAAAAAATCTCGAGCTCGGCTGGAGCTTTTTTCGGGCCCGAACCGAGCCCGGGCAAAAAAAAAAAGCTCTGCCCAAGCTTTAGCGGGCCGAGCCGGCTCAATTTTTTTATTTTTTAATTTTTTCAGCTATTTTAGCTTTAAAAAATTATTTTTATTATTTATTATTATTTTTTAATTAATCACGGGCCGGGCCGGCTCGAGCCGATCCCAAGCCGGAGCCGTCCGAGCCGGTGAGCTTTTTTGCCACCACTACCTATAGGGCATGCTACGCAAAATGCCCCTACTTTTTGAAAATAGTTCAAAACGTCCCTATTTGAAACCTTTAATGCGGAATACAACATTTGCGGTGCAAAAAACCCCCATATAAACTTTGTAGTGTGATCCACTCATACCATTCAATTTCGTTAGTTTAACCATTAAGAAAAGTAAAAATTATCAAAATTAAAAGGAATAATTGCAATTGATGTCCCAAACTTTTTTTTATAAATTATACCCAAATTTTTTATATGTGACACCTACAATCCCAAATTTGCATATCAAATTTGGATAAACATTAAGTCGTCTTATATGTTTACTTGCACCTGGTCCTCCATTGTATGACTTCTGAAATTTTTATTCCCCAATGGTCTAGGGTTCGTCGAGAATCATGTGGCTCGATTCACTGAAATTTGCTAGTCTTTCTTTTTTTTTCCGATAGATTGGGTAGGAGCCTTCTAGTCTCCTTCTCTATAGTAAATTGGTAGGGTTTAGGACTGGGGGGAGAGAGATTTGAGGATTTTTCCGGGTAGGGTTTCGAAGATTTTCGATTTGGGGTAGCATCATTTGAGAAGTTTAATGATTAAGAATCGATTACCCAGTCAAAGTATAGTACGCAATCATGGATGAATTTCTTATGTGGCCGATGCTTTTCTGTGATTGAGCATCAGTTCAGTAATAGGGCTCCAACTCTGCAATTCATCTGCCACATCAGCTACTTCGTTAGAGTTGCTAAATGGAAGTCATCCGAGTGAGTAATATCCGATATTTTGAGAATTTTAGCGACCAAAATTCGATATCTGGAATTGTATTGAATGATCGAAGATACCAACCTAAATTTAGTGATTATTGGAACGATTAACTCCTAAATAAATAGTAGTTTAAAACAAAATCAAACCAAAATGCAAAAATAGATCCACTTTGAGCCCCATTTTTCCTCAAAAAATACATTTTGAAATAATATTTTGATGGAAAATGTGTGATTAAAAATAAGGAATTTTTTTTATTTATGTGTAATATTATTTTATTGAAAAATGTATGATTAAAATTTAAAAAGAGAACAATGTATTTTGAAAATAATGAAAACGAAACAAGGAATTATGTATGAAAATAGACCTACGGTCCAACCTAACGCATCAAAAGTAGACAAGAAAGGGGCAGAGTCTAGAAGAGTTTTACTACACAAACAGGATGAGTGATAAGGGTTAAACTAGGGGAACACGTGTCAACATTTCATTGGACAGTTAAAAAAAAAAAATCCACGTACGTAGGTGCTGCAAACACAACACCTATCAAGAACCGTGTCACCTAACCGGGTTCAACGGCATTATTCGAGTCTAAAATATCCACTGCAATTTGCAAGCTTCAAAATAGCAGACTGTCACCCACGACAGTTCATCTCTCTCAAATATCTTCTCTAGTAACTGGATAAGGCGCATTGTTCTATCCTCCCAAGTCCCAACAATGTTCTCCATCTCCACCTCATTCCTCCCCACGCGCCACCACCTACTATTAACGAATCCTCGAAAGTTCTCTTCTCCGCCAAAATCTCTCTCAATCTCCGCACTTATCCTTCCCCCTTCCTCCTCCTCGCCTCCACAAAAACAACAGCTATACCAACCATTCAGGCCACCCCCTTCCCCTTTACCCGCAAAATATCGTTCTCTTGACACCAATGCCCGCATGGAAGTACTTATCAATCGTATGGGACTCTGGTATGAATATGCCCCTTTAATCCCTTCTCTTAATCAAGACGGATTCACCTCTGCCAATCTTGAGGAAATTACTGGGATTCCGTCTGGCGAACAGAATCGACTCGTTGTTGCAGCCCAGGTCAGGGAGTCCCTTGTTCAATTTACGGATCCAGATACTGTGGCATATTTTGATCCCGCGGGATTCTCTGAGCTTCTGTACGAAATTCGGCTTTTGAATAACCAGCAACGGGCAACTGCAGCGCGGTTCATTGTAGCAAACAAGTTTGATGGGAAACAAACTCAGGAATTGGCGAGGGCAATGAAGGATTTTCCCCGCAGGTATGGAGATAGAGGATGGGATAGTTTTAATGGGAAATTGTCGGGTGATTGTTTGGGATTTATGTACTTTAGACAAGCCCAGGAGCATAAAACAGCTTCATCCCCGGAGCTAAGGAAGGCTGCTTTGGAGAGGGCTTTAGAAGTGGTGGATTCGGATAAGGCGAAAAAGAAAGTGGAGGAGGAGCTGGAGAGGAAGGATGGTGAAGAAAGAGGTGCTAGTGATATGGATCCAGATGGTTTGGTGAGAGTGCCAGTGGTGAGGATGGCAGTGGGGGAGGTTGCAGAGTCGAGCGTGGTGGCGATTTTGCCAGTTTGCAAGGTGGAGGAGGGGGAAATTGAGGTGGAGGCAGCGCCATGGGAATGTGGAATGGAGGGGGAATTTGGGGTATTGGAGGCGGAGAAGGGGTGGACTAGGTGGGTTGTGTTACCCGGATGGGAGCCCGTGGCAACGTTGAAGAGAGGAGGAGTGGCGGTGTTGTTTCCAAAAGCGAAGGGAATTCTCCCATATAAGAGTAAGAGGAGGGAAGTCGAGGAAGAGATTTTGGTGGTTGCAGACAGAGGTAGGACGGAAGTTTCAGTAGATGATGGATTCTATTTGGTTGCTAGTGGTGGCAATGGGATTCAAGAGGAGGGGTTGAAGGTGGAGAAAGGTTCCAAATTGAAGGAAAGTGGGGTGACGGAGAGCTTAGGGACGGTGATTTTGGTGGTTAGGCCACCACGAGAAGAGAATGAAGATCAATTGGCTGATGATGATTGGGAATAAAACATGAATTTACAGTCCATTCATTCTAGGATTCCTTGTGTAATAGGAGATTATGTTCCAATTAATTACACAGTAGTCATATAATACTTGTGGATGGATTGATTTTTGCTTGATTAATACATTCAAGGCTATTGAGTTGCAGCATTGAGCTTGTAGCATGTCTCTTAAAATGAAAAAATAAAATAGAACAAAACCTGTAGTTCTATCCATTTGTTGGTTTCTCATCTCATGTAATAGAAGTATATTTGTTTGGCAAGAAAACAAACACAATGCATTCTGAGTACAGAAACTGTGCAGGCTGGCTGTTAAATTAGTCGAGTTTTAACTTAAATAGAATGTAACGAGGATGCACACAAAAAATGCAGTCATCCACTTTAAGCTATTATTGGCATCATTAATAGACCAATATCTGGGTGAAGAATTGCATGTTTCCGCAAAATATATATCATAGCAATAGAAGGCTTCTTTAACCAAGCCACTGTTGACATTTACGATCTCCGCTTCCTCAAACAGAATGTCAAATGCTGATCTTCTCGTTTGCATATTTTTCCTGAAGCCACTCAAACCCATTCACATCAAGCGTTCCGGATACGGATTTTCCTTGCTTTCTACGAGTTTTGTTGCTCCCGAATTGAAGCCTAAAGTTTCCCAATGGCATCCCTTTGTCGGGTGGTGAAACTTGAAACATTCTCAAATGTGTGTTTTGCTAAGATGTCAATAGCAGTTTGGCACCGGAGAGGACAACCACATATGCATTAGCAAAAGATACGAGATTATTTTAAAGAACCAGTAGACGTTGCACCAATAACTAATGAAAGTTTTGACTTTAGATTAATGTTTAACCATGGAGTTTTGTATCTCTTAGCAGCGATCTCTAAACAGGAAATCAAGGCCTCTCTCTGTGGCTTGAGAAATATCATATTCTCTTCCTCTTCTTCCTTTCGACTATTGATTACCTCCCTTCTCCCGTGTGAATTATCATCCTTCTTAGAAACATTTGGTATCAGGGCATCCAGTCCAAATGGATCGGGCTCTTCCTCGTTTGTCTGCCCATCTGTGCTTGGCACCTCCAACTCTTCTTTCAAAGCAATAGCTTCTTCCATATCATCATTCTCACTTGCAACAAGAAGGCTAGATATGGCCTCTTTTATTCTCCCAGTAGCTTTTGAAAACTGAAAATTATCCCAAGCAACATGTAAGATCCTCAGCAACAGTCAAGTATAATAAATAAAAATAATAATAATATTTCTACCAATTACCATCATAATCACCAATACCAAGTTTAAACTCTAGGCAAATAATGGACAATGTAATTAACATGGCCATGTGGGGTTATAGAATATTTGAATTCATTGGATATTTCAGATTTTCCGAGTTGGGAAGAGAGAAAAGATTCATGTAGCAGGCCCCAAATTTAGTATGAATAAGTCTTCGTTTGTTGTAGCCATTAAAGATAAATCTGGAAAAGTGTTCAGCTGGGTATAATCGTTCATACTGTCAGAGACAAGGAGCAAAGTTTAACAGCCAAAGTCTTGAGAAAAAAACAGTCATCAAGATTTCAAGCAAAGGGTTTCACATGGTAGATAACGACGAGACCTACAACTTCAAAAAATTCAGACTCCAACGTTGCTATATACCTTGAATGATATAGATTCAATTGTTTTTGGAATTGGAACAGATAAATGGAAAAATATAGGCTACTCAGTTTAGAATGTTAAAATATTTAGGAAGGGTATAGATCGTCATTAATGTAATGAGAGGAACACTAATGCAAAAGTATTCTTAATTTAAAATAGAAGATCAGTGACAGCCGCATTAAAATAACTGAAGCAGGTCCTGGTTGGGAGTTTCTCTTCAGTCAAAAGAGTTTGTCAGTAATGGAGGAATATTGCTGCATGAACTGTCAGATTGTTTTCCACAAGATACTACACCTTCAATAAGAACACTAATGAGACTGGGCACTTCAAACACGCATGTATCTTCTATTGTTACTACCGACAATTAGAGATTAGGTATAAGGTTATCTTCAGTAACATCTTAAGGTTCCTCTGTTCATTATTAAATTGATGGAAAAATTACCAAATGGAGATATTCAAGTGCGGAAAATTCTCGAGAGGAGCATTCACGAATAGGAGCAGAAGTGAGCTAGATTTTTCTAGGATGAGTTCAATAATTCAGAAGCTAAAGGAATAGAAATGAGGATCAGATAGACTGGTCAACTTCCAGTAAGGCCATACATGAGCCATCTTCCACCTGACACTTGATAACAAATTAAAGTTCATTTAACTGTGGATCAAAAGCAGATGAACTGCAAATATTAATAAATGCAGACAATTAGAAGTTCAAAGCAGGAAAATACCAGCTTTTGCAATTACTAACGTATGGCTGGATATCCCACTTCAGGTAACAATATGATGCAAAGGCTCTCAAAAAGTTGAAGGCTCTCAAAAAGTGCACTTTAACTAGTGGAACAAAGCAGGCATTTTTAAAGTTGCTCTACAGCACAAACAATTCTTCTTTAGATCCAAGTCAATAGAGACAAATTTCTTTTTTCATGTAGTAACCATATGCAGAATCTTCTGTAATTTTTAGAATATAATGTATATAGTTCTTCATGATGCAGGATGAATTGGAAGGAGTGGGGGTAGAGAAACTTGGACTTTCAATGGGAGCTGAACTGAACAAGGAGTGGGTGTCACAGGGGAACTGATCAAAATTTGTTTTCATGAAACCCATCTCTTCACGAGAAACAAGTGTCCTAGTTGGGGGAAGAATCATTTCAGAAAAGCATTGTGCAGATGAAGAATATAAGGACAAAGCAGTTGATTGAAGTAGCTGAGGCAAAGGCAAATGTCAACTGACTTTCAAAACAAGTCAGTCCGGGACTAAGGATGCAAGTGATTCTGGAAGGCCGGGCTTGTCCTTTCTTGTTGTCTCATTTTTATTTCTTGTTTAATTGCGTCGCTCTTTTCTATTTCTTATTATGGTTTAGTTGACTACGGAAGGCCGGGCTTCAATTTCCGGCGTTGGCTCTATCGATTTTCCTTTATTTCCGGCTTGTTGAATATGGATTTGGCTGCGTAGAGGATCAATTTCAATTCCACTATATCAAAAAGTATATATTGCTCATTTGGCGTTGAGGAAGATTTATGTTTGGAATGCGCCATTTGTGATTTCATCCGAGATATTGTTAGGGATTTTTTCCATGTATCGTGAAATTGAGGAAGGAGGTTTTATGGCAATTCTGTGAAAAATTTCTGGGTATTTAGCGTTTCAAGGATCATTGTTAATTTTTAAAACAATTTGCCTCAAATTCATTAAAATTTCCCTTTTACATGCATTTTTTTCTGGGTTTCGAGAAAGAAATTGATTCAATCAATAGGTTTTCTTTATCATTCAACAAATTTTGAAGAGAAAAAAAAGGTGATTTTGTAGTATGCGTGGAAACTATTACATAAGTAGTATGCGGTTCAAATGTTGCCCATGTTAATAAGTTGTAAAATTTATATTCCTACATAGGGAAATTTGGAATTTGTTTATCCGTTTCAGCATTGTATCGCAAGAGATTGGGTTTGCACAATTCTTTTCTGGAATAACTTGAAGAGTATTTGCTTACTTTGAGGATCTAATGTGATTTATGTTTTCTTCACCTTGCAATCTAATATCATCGTGGTGTTCTTGTTCTTATCATATAAATATTTACTAACCTGGAATATTATGGTTTAAAAGGTTCTTTCAATGTTAGCATTAAATTTCACAATGTCTGAAGCAAACATGTTGATTGGTAGTAAACCATATCTTATGTTAGTTTTGATATATTTCAATTAGAATGGTTCTCTGTTTTCTATTGTTCTTTATCAGTTTGGGATTTTATTGCTTCTTGCAAGTGCAAAGGCACATTCAAATATGTTCACAGAAAATGTTAGGATCATTGGCGTACTGTGAAGGTACATGTATTTATTAGTTGCCGTGATGTTATTCTTGTATTAATCTTCTATTTCATTTGAAGTTTCCTATCGACCCATTTGCTTCATTATTATATTGGAAAGTGCCAAAAAACTATGCATCTTTTGTTATTCTTATTTACTTTATTAATTTTTTCAGTCTAAATGTTGCATTCATTATCGGTATTTCTTTTGTGAAACTAAAATATTAACATATTGAGATGTTCAAGTGTAGGATTATGGGGAGATTTCTCATCCTCCATTTGTTTATATAGTTTATCATAGCAGAAGTTAACTCTAAGGTTTGATAAGAAGACTGGGAACCCCCAAAGGTTTTGCCTTTTTTGTTTATTAAACTGGGGAGGGTGCAAAAGCTTCACTGATTGGACCCATGAAGACTATTGATGGGCATCAAGTGGTTTGTAAGTGTAGCCATCAAGAATGTTGATAAAGAGGAGGTTCTTAAGCACAAGATGATTGGTCAATTACTGTTGTATTAATCGATTAATTCAATATATACTAGTATCTAAACCTTCTTTATCTATGTTTCAGAGGTTGGAGTTCGAGTTTTACTATAGATTGTGTTCATGTACTGAAGAATGATTAATTCAATATTTACTAGTTTCCAAACCTTCTTTATCTTTGTTTCAGAGGTTGGAGTTCGAGTTTTACTTTAGATTGTGTTCATGTACTGAAGAAGTTTTGTTTGACCTTTAAATTTCAACAACTGATTATTTTTTCTCACTACTTTATTGATTTGTAGTGTTGAATGATAACTAATGGTATCTGATTAACGTTATAAAAGTAACAGAACAAAGAAATGTTTTGGAAGGTTGTATATTTCTTTTCTTTTCCAGTGAAATTGATCAGATTAGATGTTCCCTCAATTGTTTATATGGTGAATCGAACCGTTTCCTCAAACATTTACACATATTTGAGTGGATGATTGAAATTTATAAACTATCTAACTCGATAATATATCATTACAGGAGTACCAACTACGTCTAATAACACCAACGTTTTATGGAATTTCTACGATGTTATTTAGAGTTAATATTCAACTAGTGTGAACATACTAAAAAAATATGAGTTTTTTTAATAATAAAGTTTTATTTCCCAGGTCTTTCGTTTTGGGCAATTTACATCATGGCAACATTTCTGATTGTGTCTTAATTTTGTGCTCCCTTGCAGATTAAACACGAAATCTCAACAATGAAATTACACAGATACCAAAATGTCATCCACATGCATGAGCTATGTGGTTGGAGTTAACTTGTTTAGCCCATGACTTATTTCTGCTATTTATATGCAGGGCGTATGAATAATTTACCATTATATAAGATTATTTTAATATTTTCAATTTTTCATGATGTAATATAAGAAATGATAATTTCTCCCCTGATCTGACAAAAATTATGTAAAAAATAATGTTCATTATTTGAATTTGAGATCTTGACATTCCTTAGCAATAAATTTTATAGCAAGAACTTGGGTTGAGTGAGGATGCAGAACAATTTGCTTGTACAATATTTAAAGCTGAATATTTTATCTTTCAAGAGGTAAGTTTTGTCATGGTTTCTTCTTTTCATGTGTGTTGTGGGATATCCCCAAAATACATGAACATGAAGCACAACATGCATATTTCCATGCATCTATCTCATATATGTTTGTTTGAAATTGCAGACACTGTCTGAAGAAGAAGTAATACCTTCTTTTGATGTCTTGGATAAAAACTCATTTTTCTATGGAAATGCTGGAAATGGAGCGAAAAATGAAACTCGTTGTCGACATGGCACTAAACAGGTAATAATGCCTTCATTGTTATCACTCCTTACTCTTCCACAAATTGCATATCATGTCTCAACAAAAAATTATTTTTTCCTTAAATCAAATAATGCTCAAATTATGCCATTACAAACTACCATGCCCATGGGTCTTCTCAAGACCGACTCCATTTTCTTCACCAGCAATAGATGAACCAGAGAAGATGCAATAGGAGGAAAGGGTACTGATATCAAAATTGTAAATATACTCTTGCTCGTAATATTTAATTGTTTGCCTATCCAATATTTTGTCGTTTCAACTAAATTCATGATTCCTTTTAATATTTTACTAACTTGATCTACTTGAATTCTTGGAAACTTTTTAACATTGTCCTATATTTAATCATGCTTTTTTTTTGGATCTACTTGCTTTGAATTCTATTTGTTATTCTGCCAAAAATATTTATGGTTTAGTTTGGGAAATATCAATTTATTGATAGTTTTCCAGATTCTTCATTTGTATTAGATCAATTCTGAGCAAACAATTATTAGGTCCTCGTTCTAAATCATTTTTTTAGTAGATTTTGATAAAAGTTAATGAAATGTGTGGTTGAAAATCTGTGGGTCCCATGAAATGTATGGTTAAAATTAATTGTTGACTTTGATTTTAGATTTTAATCCAAACCAAACAAGGGCTAGATGTTGTCCAAAGATTTATTGTTACAACAACATTTTTTTTTTTTTTTGAAGGTTACATCAACAAGTCCAAACCAAACAAGGGCTAGATGTTGTCCAAAGATTTATTGTTACAACAACATTTTTTTTTTTTTTTTGAAGGTTACATCAACAAGTTCATATTTCATATTAAAGAAAAATAAATTTTTTCTGAGATTTGACGAGTTGAGGTATATAGATACATTGATCACGCCCAGCAGACCCAAATAATTATGAGGTGTAAATGATTTGATTGTATGCTTTGAAAGACTATCAATTTGCACCTTAAGACAATTTCCATCCTTTGTTTGTTTGTGAAATGCTATTGATTTTAATTGGTTCATATGCTGAGATATTATTTAAGAATGGGTGTCACTGTTTGTAATTCTTTCACATAAAAACTTTTGTTTCTTTTTTCAATTGATATTTTATTGATTCTGTTTATAAGAATATTCACGAGTTAGTTATTTTTTAAAATGATGTTTCAGAAAGTAGTTTTGCGAGCTCCATTTGTCAATGTTGTGCTGCAATAGTGTTCAATTGCATTTTTTTTCTTGATGTATAATTATACTAATATTAATTTTGTTCCTTAGATCGACAATAATTCTAGGCGTGATTGTTGTCAGTGCACTTGTGATATACTCAACAAATGTGTCTACTAGAATTCTAGAAGGAGCAAGAGTGAAGTATACTTCTATTTGCAAGGAGGTAAGTTGTATCATGTAAAAGAAAGAATTTTTAGCTACTTTGCAAGTAATTACGTTTTTCTCATTAATTAGTAGAGATAGATTTCGGGAATCATAAAAGATGATGGTTATTTGTGTGGTTGTTTGGTTTGCAACTTCTCTCAAATAGGCTAGCCCTGGTATTAAAATTTTTAACTTTGGTTAGTTGTCTATTTAGTGTCTTGAAAAGAGTGAAGGGGTAATTTTCATGTGTATAAATGTTTTTTATGCCCTTGTTTGAGCCACATTAAAATTTTCATTATCATTCTTCTGCTCATTTTCAATCACACATTCTTCAATAAAATAATATTTTCCATCACATCAATAATTTTTCTTTCTTTTTCAACCACACAGTCTTCGTCAATCTACTATTCCAAAATACATTATTCCAAAATAATGTGGCTCAAACACACCCTATATTTGATTAACTTCATTTGTGCCTAATTTATTAAACTTAAAACATATTTGAATGTTCAAAAAATATAAATCATAAAACCCTAATGTTTAGATGTTGTAGCATAGTATAAAAATATATTAATTAATCTACATAATTAATATTTAGATGTTCTAAAATAATTTTTCATTTCAACAAAATATCTAGCAAAATTATAAGAGTAATCGTGTGACGCACGATCCCCACTAGTTTTAAGATAAAACTGAAATTGTAGGCATACAGCAGGAGATATGCTATCTCAAATTGTAGGCATATAAATAGTGGTCTTCACATATCTCCGTATGTTCGATTTGCACTGATTTGTTCATCCGATAAAATTCATAAATGGAAACACACCTTTTTAAAGACAAAAGTCTGCCATGTTACTAAAACTTTAAATGTAGAGCAATGAATGCCTCTAGCAACTTTGCAGGGGGCAGATTATTATGTGTCTGTACATGTAAAATGACACATGGATTATGCCAAGTGAAGGTAATATGACATAATTATGCAACAATTAAGAGCATAATAGACGAGTAACTACAAGCATCATGACATTAATTAAGGGATGAACTCCCACATGTCTTCTAGCATAAGAGTATGAAATTCATTTGACTGACAACCATGTAGTAAATACAATATTCGAAGAGTGAATAAACTTACTATAAAGCTGTCATCTGTGAACAAGTCGTTTGCACCGACAGCCCTAACCATCCATGTACTTCAAAGATTTTTCTGCTTCTTGTTAAGGACCTACAACAGTTATAATCAAGTTTAGATTAATTGAAACATGTTACTAAAATAAAAAAGGGAAACATATAAAGGTGGAAGGAATTTAAAGCTCACATCAGCTGCATCTTGAGCTGCCAAGAAGAGTGCATGATAGTCAGCTCGTAAATAAATGGGGCTAATTACAAGTAGTCAAAGACAACATTGCAGCTTCAAGTATGGCAAAGAAGTTATCAGCAGTCGCATGCTTGATACTACCAGTATGAACCAGCTGTATATCAAGCTTCGATGCCTTATTGAACTTTGATGGGTTCTTAATATGTGACGCTATGTTCTGCACGGCGTCAATAACTTGCTTTTCCGAGGCATCTGTCATTGTTTTAAATCTCAAGCACTTTTCAGGCACAGCAGCTGGGAGAGACAAGGGCCATTCAGCATTTTGTTGTAGAGAAAATATAATTTATAAAGAAAATGAACAATTCATAAACATGAAAGCCTAACATATAGCATATAAGAAATCAAAAGGATAGTTTTGGTGTACAAGGGAATTACTAAAGAGCTAAACTGCCAAAAGGCTAACGAGGATAAAAATCTAATAGTTTACTTGCATTGTCAGTTTTAGAAACCCCAATTGGCTTTTCACGATTCACATCGACCAAAACTATAAAAAATTTCATACTCATTTGTTGCTAAAATTTTTAAAATTGTCATAAACATCATTCCTCATCAAATATTGAACAAATTATAAACCACAAATGGAATCACCTTCACAAGGCAATGATACCACTGCAAGGCTACGAAACGCTCAAAAAAGCCCTGAAATCAAACAATTAACACTAAAAGTTGAAGAATATATATTCATCAATATAGCCCATTTTCACAGCTAAACAACACTCGTATAACCGCAAAAACGAGTTTTTAAACAATAACCAAATCCAGAAGGCTCGACAAGCAAAAATCAATAAAATTGAATTTTGCAACGGAATGATATGAAATGCCTTGTAGCTGTGATTCAGGAGGTGGCTTGGGACGTTTGAGAGCTCTCTTCAGTGAAGGAGCGGGAGGAGGTGAGATTGGTACAGATTCTTGAGTGCCACTGAATCTGATCTTATTGTTGTTTGAAGATTGTGCATTTTGTTCGGAATTAGATACAGATGGCGGTGGCAAATCTCGAAAAAGGTCATCCGCCATTGTTGTGTTGCCTTGTTCCTTGAATTCTCCCCTGTAAAGGACTTGTATTCCGAGGAACCAAGGAAAGTGAAAACACGAAAGAGTAAAGACAAAAGAAAGGGGAGACAAAGCAATTGAAACTTGGTACAGAATTCTTACAGAAAAGAATAACACTACTTGCCCAGGCTTGGAGACCGATTAAAAAATGGGGAAATAAGTAATCACGTGTAATCCACATGACAATCACGTGTAAACAGCAATTTGGAGGGAAACCCAATTTAGAACCCATTTGGACTTGAGAAAGGAAAACTTTCCATTTGTTCGCCTCCGTTTTCAACCTGCTAGATCGAAGAGAGAACTTCTCTGCCTTCAGCCTCCGTTGTCCTCTCCTACTCTTTGCTAGATCGAACAGAGAACTTCCATTTCGACCGCACCCATTTCATCTCCAACCCCCATTTTCAGTCACAGAACTTCCATTTGCTCGCCTCCGTTTTCAACCTGCTAGATCGAAGAGAGAACTTCTCTACCTCAGCCTCCGTTTTCCTCGCTTACTCTCTGCTAGGTCGAAGAGAGAACTTCCCTCATTTTCAGTAACAGAACTTCCATTTTCACTCGGCGGTTGGTCCCATCTTCCTCACTGATTTTGGGTGACCCGTAGCCGTGGTACGATTTTCACTCCCGGAGGGTTTTGGACTCTGATTTGGGGTTCGTTAGTGTAAATTTGAATTACAAAACTCTCAACTCTTATTTCCCAACCCGTTTCGAAGATGGGATCTGAAATGCAGCAAACGAGAGCACGGGTCTGAATTTTTCCCAATTGAAGAACTCGTAGAAATCAAACTCTCAGCCACTATAAAGGTATGTTGACTACAAATAGTTGTACTTGGGTTAAATAGTGTAAATTTGAATTCCAGTGATCGAATTTGTGGTATTCATGTGAGCGGAATATCTCTGTTTTTGTGGTATTGTTGTGAGTGGACAGATATTCAAATTGAACTAATTCTTGTGTTAAAGAGGATAAAGTGAAATGCTGGGATTTGGATTAGGTGTTACCAAGTCGAAAAATGTGAAAAATCACAATTGCTGCCATTGTTGAGTTGTTAGAGATCTGCAATTGCTCTTGGATCATAACACAGAACTCCATTGTAATTTTGCCCCATTGTTCTGTTTGTGGATTGAAACTGAAAATTACCTTCTTTTTTCTTAGTAAAATTAATTATGGAGCACGTGGAGGACAAGCAGGATGATGTTTTGGTGCAATCTGAGAATGAGAAAGTGACAGAGTCCATCAATATAGTGGAAGGTGGAACATCTACGGGAGTTAGTGTAAGTGTGCCAGAGCCACGAATGTTGTTTAAAAATGAGAAAGATATGTACGAGTTTTACATGCAATATGCTTATGCAGTGGGGTTTCCAGTTAAGAAAAGGAATTCAAAAAAGGGCGACGATAGAGTATTGAGATATGTGACCTTGACATGTAGTCGAGAAGGAGGGAGAATCGGTAATAGTAGCGGTTCGTTGAAGCCACAACCAACAGTTAAGATGGATTGTAAAGCCAGGATATCTGTATCTTGTGATAATCTTGGAAATTGGAGAATTAACACGGTAAACCTAGATCACAACCATGAAACAAGTCCTTCTAAATCTAGGTTATATCGCTGCAACA